GTGTTCAAGGGAGTATTTAAAACATGGACGCATAAAATGGGTACACCATTATTTGTGGGAAAAAATTTTATTCGACAACAAAGAATGTGAAAACGTGGTTTTTGGGATTCAATCGAAAGTGTTGTCAGGAACAAAAAAACTCTTCAAATAAGATTTTTAGGTATTTATGAGACCTACAGAATGAGACTACACGTGGAGAGGCTCTACAATTATTTCACAAACCGGGGTATTATCGTGTAATATGATTTGACTAATATATGGATAAGTTGATATTATACGTAAAGCTAGTTGAACACGTGTAATACTAAATTAAAAGCGGAAACTGCAATTATTTTTTGCCGATAGGCCGAATTCATTTCAAAATTATTATATTTGACTAACTTATGAGAACGATATTAAATGGATTATTCTAAAAGGCCAAAGAAATTTGCAAATATATTAATATTCCGCAGAACTGGAAGAGTGCGAATATGTACATACTAACTGATGGTTGATGAAAAAACACTCATCCAATTTACAGCTGTTAGATAAATAAAAGCTGAAAACATTTATCATTCAAACAAATTCCATTAGTTATAAACAGTCAAGGTTAACTACATGAATTCATTTGTATTTACAATACAGATACGCGGGATAGACAAAAAAATGTGATTCATAGTACAGCATAGATCAAGTTACGTGTACTGATACGTTCACTTTCAAAAAATTAAAAGCAAACCGCAGATGAACAGTATTTTAATTTATAACGGTAACATGGTACCAGACTTTGACGGCTTGAGTTCAATGTGTACGAGAGAGAAGCGCGAGATGTGTGTAACAACACATGTTGCCGCGTTGCCAATATGTTTCACCAGAAAATGTCCGCACTGGGTGCGACCTAAGAAGGATGTGTTTTAATTTATTTTGGAATTATCTTTGATTTCCATCGATGGTGATAAAATTAACACATCCTGAGTTATTGTTACATTATGCAGCAGCGAGCGATCGGAAAATGTAACAAATACCATTACCCAATATAAATTATTACTGCCCGAGTGTATGCAGGTGAAAGCACGACGACACTCCCCAAAATCGCTCATCTATGATCATGAAGGTGGAAACCTTGCTTTGGAATGTACGAGATGTGGTGTCGCCAAGCGAACCAATGATGCAATGTTGCAGAATTTGAGGCGATCCTGAATTTCATTTCGACCTAAACTGGACGTTCCCAAACAGATTCGACACAATTACAGCTCAAAAATGTGTACGCTCAAAATAAAACTATTATTTGTGCGTAGAAAATAAACTATCGCATATTTTCAACAAGCATCTTAATTCAAGGGATTGGTGTGACATATTGGCGACGCTAAAGATTGCCGCGTCAGCGTTGCTAGGCATCGCGGTGACGAGCTTCGCTATCCGGCCGGCTTCTATCTCTTTCTGAAATATTTGTTTATAAACACTTCTCTCATACACATTGAACTTAAGATAAATTTGCCTCAGCGACAGACAGACTGATGGGAGTGAGTAATTTGATATTCATAATGGAAATAGTACAAATTATCAGAAAATATTACATTTTCCATACGTGCATCTAGTAGTAAAACATTTATTACTTTAAAATGGTATTCATGATCATGGACAATGACTACGAAGTTATTTCCACGTGAAATAATGTATGCGGATTACGTGGGCAACAAGTAAAATAATGAAGAGTTTAATTCCCTACATTTTTTTATTACTTTTTCACAAACGGTCGATGGTTTCCAAGATTTTTGATCAAACGGGCTTAGCAAAATGGCTGCAACTGCTCCAGCCCTATCAAGATGCCAATTTTAACTTATCATTAGGAAGCAGTACTCTAACCATACCATAAAACAACATACTGTCGCCCAAATTGTAGCATTTGCTTCTACAAAATCTTCCCATTTTTTGACCTATAATGCTCTTTGAACAAGAAATACATTTTGATTCCTGAACTTTGAACTGATACGTGCCTCTAAAGAATTTAACTAATGCTCCTCCTCGTATACTGTGTGTTTATTGTCGCGAATCATTCTGATGAACACAAAAGATATGCCACATTTCAATGATACTTGTCAACATTGGCGTACTCAACTCTTTTAAGAGGTGAAATTGCACATTTCGTTTGGCGTTCATTATTAAATTACTCTTAGATTGCTACAGAGTCCAGGAAATTTCATTACCGGCAGGAGGTGCATTAGTATGCGTTGCAGATAACTCGTATATCGTAGGCAATGAGACAACGTTTTTTATTGATGGATGATCTCATTTACAACTTCATGTTTTTCTAGGTAATTACTTTTTCCATATCATTATCAACGAAAAAATTAGGGTCAAGAGGTTGTGGGAACACACAACGCCGATATCATTTCATAAAGGATTATGTTCAGCAAAAACTAGTCCCTCTGAGAAAAAAGTCAGTCAAACAGGTCTATACTCTATGGTCATTTTTTCCCTGCCCTACCGGTAGGGCATCTGGAAACGTCGCCTCTCCCCGATACTTAACTCGCTCAGACGTGGCTCAGAAATATGTGTAATACCGTACCAAAACAACAAAACACTCACCAAGGCCGGTAACACGCCACCGGCAGCAGCAGACGCGGCCGATAGGTACGCGATCTGTTTGCTGAGAATATTTAAGTTTTAAGGGCTATCTATGATGTGTGAGATATATGTCTAATAGGTGCGTATAATTACATGGGTTGGAAACGTATAAATTGCTAGAACCAAAAAATTTACATATACTTTCACCCAACCCTCAACATCGAAATTTTAACCCCTGCAGAAATTTGTCTGAAAATGATCAAGATCCTCTGAAACGTCAAAAAACGAAGTTTGAGCGATTTTTTTTCGTTTTTCGCCTTTTCTCCGCTGCCACTGGATCGATTCTCGAAAACTACAAGTTTTTTATCCTTGGCATAGTTGTAACCTTGTGTGAAAATTTAATCAACATTCGAGGGTACTTCTCAAATTTTACCATACTACATACCTTTTGGTGCAGTTTAATACTGCACAAAGATGTGAAAAATAAGAACATCTAATATATGGAAATATTTCGACAAAGCTTTTGATTTTTATGCCTGAACCACCACAGTGGCCTAAGGCCTAAACACACATGTGTACCATGGGGCCATAGGGCCATAGACTCAATTTGCAAGTCAAAATTTCAAGAGCTTCAAAAGAACTGTTGCAGATTCATATCTGGTCTTAGGAAGTATAGTAGCATTTCTTCAAAAATCAAGGAGTAACAGTGGCTCAGAGTTGACGGTTTATACAGGGTGATCCATATGTTGGTTAAATTTTGAACTAGGGCTTATCTCACGGTTGGTAACACTCACATTAGTTCTGTTTTGGCAGGAATTTAGTAAAGAGTCTGCGGTAAACGGATATGGATCGATATACGCTTGAACAACGTTGGGAAGCGCTCAAAATTGGACGCATTTTTACCGAAAGATCAGTTTTTCGGATGAGGCCTATTTTCATCTTGGTGGCTACGTCAATAAGCAAAATTGCCTTGGGTACTCACAGTAGCCAAATGAAATTACCTACTCGTAGAAGCCAATGCATCCGCAACGCGTGACGGTGTGGTTGGTGGTCCAGTGGCAATATTGGCCCTTTTTTTCGAAGATGACGAAGAACGCGCCGTCACTGAGTATTTTTTTTCTGGAATCCGATAAAAAGACTTGGTTGGCCTGTGGTTCCAGCAAGACGGCGTGACCTGCCACACCAGCCGCGAAACAAACGCCGTTTTTTTTGTGGGGGAAGCGTGAAAGATAAATGCTTTGCGGATGCCCCAGCGAGGATTGAGCACTTGAAGACCAACATTAATGCAGCCATTGGCGAGATAATTCCGCGTACTTTGGAAAATGTATTGAAAAATTGGGTCGACAGAATCGGCTACGTCAACCTTAGCCGTGGCGCGCATATATGAATGAGATTGTGTTTCATCATCAACGGGAAAGATAGTACTCTCAAGTAAAAAAAAACCCGTTTGGAAAAACTTAACGAACAGATGGATCACCCTTGGCTTCATTGGTGCATAGAATTTTTAAAACTGGTAAACCCGTCTATTTACTCGATAAGTTGATTCCTCGTGGGAACCAAATTACTATAAATCTGCGGCACAATGATCTACTTTCCATTCTTATACATCGTACGTCAGTTTTTCAGAGGTCCTTTACTTATAAAGCGATCAAGTTATATAATTCTTTACCAGTTAACTCTTAGAGCTTAAATTTGCAGATTTTCAAGAAGACAGTCAAGTTGCACTTTCTGGGATCAGTACATTCTTTGTATACATTCATATTCTATATTTACTCATTTTTTAATGTATTTCGTCTTACGGACGCTAGCAAGAGAACACGGATGCATAATCGGGTACCAAAACGGAAGGGAGAACACGCCACGGAAAAATCGTGCGCATAAATCCCGACATATTCAAAGAGACGCCTCGTTAACAGTGACGTACGATGACGTACCATTTGATGATCGCCTGTCCTGGAAGGCCCATATTGTAGATTTAGCAAATCCTGAGCTATATTTGCTCTTTGGAGGATGTCCATATTAGTGAATCAAGACATCTTATTAATGCTTTATTTCATTCCCAAATGGCTTATGGTATATCATTGTTGGTAAACTCAAGCAGTGCCCAAGATATTTTCAAGTTAAATGAGAAAATATACGATTAATCGATGGAATTGGGTACCGCGATTTGTGCCACCAGCTTTTCACCAATTTGGAAATAATGACATTACCTGCTGTTCATTTATGAACCTCCTTGAAACATAAAAACAAATCAGAATTTGACACTACCATGTCACACCATAATATTTTTGTAAAATGTGTGTAAATGATTATTTCTACTGTTATCCTATGTAAGTGTCTTTAAGTTTTTTTATACATACATATTTAGCTTGACTTGCTACATTGTTATTTACAGTTTGTAGCCATTTTATTGTTTTGCAATCTATTCTATCATTTATTTTCTTTTGTCGCAGACTGACAGCGAGGCGGCATGTGAAGAGGCAGCGAGACTTACAGCAGAACAACAAGAAGACGATGAAGACGACGAGTACTGCGACTACCACGATCTACCGCCCCCTCCCGACGGGGGGTACGGTTGGGTGGTGGTATTCGCTAGTTTCATGTGTAACATGATCGTAGATGGTATAGCGTATACTTTCGGAGTATTTTTGGGCGAAATGGTAAGTTTTATCTATACAGAAAATGGAAGGGGTTTATTCAATTTTTGCGAATATCAGTATATATATAACAATAATAATAATTGGTCTTTATTAGGGTGAAGTTTCCACTAAATTCTATTAAATTAGCAAACAACAATACACATATACGATGTGTCTGGTGGTGTAACAATTACAACAAAAGACATATAATAGCAAGCACAGACTTAAAACTTTTAAAAGACAGTTGTTTTTCACACATATTGGATAAAATTAGGAATGTTTATAATAAAACTTCAACTATAGAAAATACATAGATAAATGAGACGCCAACAGTATAAAATATGGATGAAAACAATGAGAATGCGCAACGCAAGAGTATCAATTAATACCAGCATTTCCATGGATCAATATATATATCTTAACTTCTGGTTTAAATTTATTAACTGACAATGACTTATAGCTATCTGGCAGAGAGTTATACTTAACGGTATTGTATGTGAAACTATATGTATTCCGAAAGAAAGCAGTCCTGTGGCGTGGCATTGTTAAGTTGTTAGAGCGCCACCTTCAACTAGTTGAAGGTGGCGCTGGTTGTTATTACACCTTATATTTCGGGAATATACAGGGTGGCCCATCCTTGTGTGGACGGAATATTACTCATAAACGAATACATGTTGGGAAAATCTATTTATGGCATGTTATATATGACATTTGATGGCACATTTCTAAAATATTGGCAATTATACAGGGTGTCCCAATTTTGATCTACATATAAAAGTAGTGATTTTTTAATTGGAATGCCTCAAATTTTATTGCATATTTGGATAAACCAATTCAAAATAAGGAAATTGATATAGCATACTAAGGGGTTTTGGTAATTAGCTACTGAGATGTAAGGTGTTTTGTCCAGAAAAACCGTCCACTTTGGCAACCCCTCAATCTGCCATTTTGAAATTAAGAGTGCTGAATTTTGTACAAAAAAAAACTTACACACCTCAGCTCTTATCTTATTTGATACTTTTTTGAATTTTCATTTTTGCTCGTAAAGGGTGGTCAAAAACGCACATTGTACTTTTTCTCAAAAATTTCAAATGCATTACCCTGAATATTTGTGCAAGCTTGGATTCAATTTTTTATAAGCTTTTTTTTAGCAGGTTTTTATTCAGATAAAATCACTAGATTTTGAGTTATTAAGCTTTTAACAGAACAACACACCAAAATTAAGGAAAAAAATCACATCATCCATGGAAACAAAAGACAAACAGAGGGCTAGTTCCATATTGCCACTAAGAGTACAGATTTGACGTAAAAACTAATAACAATCAAAACGGTATAAATCATCTTCAAGCGCAATAGAGAAAAACAAGTATAACAACAACATAAACAAACAACTATCGCTACTCAAGACCTAATCTACAAAAATTCTCGAAAATATCTCCACCATGTTGAATACAAAACCGTAGTCTTTGGATAAATGACGGTTGCACATCCCTCAGCGTGTGTTCCCTTATAATCAGAAAAGCATCCTTAATCCTTTCCTTCATATTTTCCGGGGTAGATGGTGGATATCTATAAACTTCTTGCTTAACGTATCCCTTTACCAAATCTGGTGATCTAGGAGGCCAAGATATATTCCCATCACGACTGATCCAACGATTGTTACTCCAGGTGTCCATCCTAGAAAAGCAAAGGCAAATGCTCGATCAAAAAATTCAAGTATTCTATACCTGTTAATCTGTGGTCAAAAAAGAAAGGCCGGCAGGGGTTATCACGTAACTTGAAAAGTGATATTATGCAGATTTTGTCTTTGACATTATGCTGTTTTTTGACATTATGTAGGTTTTTCTAAAAGTTGTTATCTTAGCACTTAGTTGTACGTGTTGCCTAAACGTCATGAGGCTTGTTATGAATCTTTGGCTCTAATGTGATGTAAAATCTGCTTCTGAGATGGCATTACTGGAGGTCTAAGCTGTAATTTGTATGTGTTGATGATAATTACATTGGGTTCTTGTCTAAAGTACACTTAATTGAGATTCAAAGCCAGAAATTAGTTGCGCATCCACGTTTTCTTATCCATTCTGGAAATTACATATACAAATTTGCTGAATTTCAAAAATGAGAGAGAGATATAAATAATTATATTCACTGTACACTGTCGAATAACAAGCCGTATATAGTACATGCTAATAGTAATTACACACAACGTGGGCGCGGTGATGATTTCCCGTAATTCTCCTCAGTTTTTCTTAATTTATAACTTTGAACATAACCTCTCTTCAGAAAGCACAACATATAAATAACCCGTCATATTCGATAATGATTTTCTCATGCAGCAAATATCACTGATTTTATACACATGCAGACCAATACACATAATCATCCAGATGCGATCTTGCTATTCAACCAACTTTCTTCTCAGAGATAATAACTACAGACACGGATCACTCAGCCTCACAAAACTATGCAACCAATAATGCGTGTAGTTAGTTGAATGATTCCTACATAGATGGACGTTCACAACGATCCTAGTGAGCAAACGTGGAATGACTGTTTGTGCCCTAAAAACTACCTAGTCTGCAAGTTGACATTTTATAGTATTTTTTGACGTTTTATAGGTTTTTTACATGATACCCGTGCCGATAACTTGTCTGCCAGTAACTCCTCCCCAAACATTCAAGCTCCATTTATTTTGGAAATCTATTTGCCTAACCCAGTAAGGGTTTTCCGTCGCATAATACGGCATGTTATACCTGTTGACAACCCCTATGCTGTCAAAAGTGGCCTCATCGCTGAAAAGAACCTTATACAGGAAAGTAGTGACTTCACTCACTTTACTTAGCATTATTCTACTAAACTCCATTCGAGCTGCGAAGGCCTTGATACAAGCATACTCGTAGGTGATATGGATGGTACCTATGCTTGTGAATAATCCTTTGGACATAAGTTCTGCATATATCACTTTCTGCTCCAATTTGCCGTGCACTTAAATGGGGATTTTCCTTTTTTTTTGGCACTAGGACATTGCGTCCCATTAGCCAGATCCAATCTTTGTATATGTACGTATATCTAATTTTGGACAAACACACGACGTCACAACATCCATGGCTTCAAAAATGTGATTTCCGAAGGCGAGATTCGAACTCGCAGCCCGGCTGGCCGGCTGATCAGTAGCACGACACTCTGACCCACCCGGCCAACCGAGGTCCAAGGGGCGGGGGGTTTCCTGCAACTCTAATAGAACCTCTAACTGATTTGCCTCATTGGTGACACTTGGATTATTTATACATTTTTCACTATATTCCACTGCTCCACTGGATTCAAAACGTTCTCGTAGTGTGGAAAATGTTTCCGGCCTTAGATGTCGCATATTAGGGTACCGTTGCTTATAAATGCGAGATGCTAGGAAACTATTTATTTGGGCTTCGCCCAACACGAACACCAAATTCACAATTTCCTCTTTAGAAAAATTTATTTTGAAACACGTTTTTATTATAATGCTCACAAAGCTAATTTTGACAGTTTGTAACTAATCAACAATTTATTTGTTTCCAAGGATGATGCGATATTTTAGGGAATTAAGCCATTCCATAAAAGACGTGCTGATAACCGAAAAAATAGTTGTAAAAACCCTTATGTGTCTAGTATGAAAAAAAAGCTTATACAAAAATTGAGTACAAACTTGCATAAATATGCAGGGTGATGCATTTGTAATTTTTGATAAAAACTGCAATTTGCGTTTTTGACCACCCTGTATGATCAAAAATGAAAATTCGTAAAAGTAACAAATAAGATAAAAGCTGAGGTGTGTAAGTTTTTTTTTAATACAAAATTCAGCACTCCAAATTTCAAAATGGCGGATTGAGGGGTTGCCGAAATATGGGGTTTTTCTAGACAAGATACCTTATATCTCAGTAGTTAATTACCAAAACCTCATAGTATGTTCTTCTTTTGAATTGGTTCATCCAAATATGCAATAAAATTTGAGGCATTCCATTTGAAATCACAACATTGATATGTATAGTGTATTTACACCCAAGATAGAATGGATGCGTGATTGCCAAAAGCAAGGACGGCGTACAGGGCCGCATTCAGGGCTACCTCCGAATGATGGACTATCACCAACGTGATGTAAAACAAAGATTACAGTATTTAACAGAAACAGAAACTTAACAAATTACTCAAATACACTTAACAACAACAACAGCAACAACCAAGCAAGGTGAATACGAAAACACGAGCACGCAGTGATACACGCGACGGACAGTGGCCTGAGTGCAACATTGCCTGCCCTGCCCCTGCCCCGCGCATTATTCCGCCAGGCGGCGCTTGAAATTTAATGGCGAATTGACCAATAAGAGGCGTTGTCCCCACCTGTTACCGAGAGATCACGCGCTAACTGTTATTATTTACATCTCATCTTGAATTTGGATTCAGTTTAGGTCGAAACTGGGACACCCTGTATAATGACCAAAATTTTAGATATGTGCCCTCAAATGTCAGGTATAACATCTCATAAATAGATTTTCCCAAAATGTATTTGTTTATGAGTAATATTCCGTCCACACATGGATGGGCCACGCTGTATATACAGGGTGTCCCAGAAATAACACGCCAGAATGATACGGGAGGTAGATTGGCTTCAGATCAATCAAATAAAATCAACATGACCTAAGGATTTTTTATTAAATAAGATGAGTATACATACTTTTATAGAAATTTGTTAAGGGACTTATTTAATGTTATTATACACGTAAATACATAGTCATATTATATGATTATTCTGCTGCTTGTAGTGTACTAGTATTAGAGTTCAATGCAGTTTATTAAGTTCACTCGTTCGTTAAGAAACATAGTTTTCCACTAGTATTATTTCCCTAGTTTCATGTTTGATGTTTTAACCTATGGCCCTTTTAGTTTCGATTTGCAAAATAAAATCAATTTTGATCATATTTAAAAAAAAAAATAAAAAAACTTGAGTAACCCACAAACGACAAAAAACAGTGTTTTAAACATGCTTAAAACAGTTGAAAACAAATTGGTTTAAAACACCTTCATTGTTTTAAACAGTGTTTAAAACACCCGTTTTAAAAATTTTGATTAACACATAACAACCGTGGTTAGTGTATTATTGGAAATTGAGCTTCATATGTTCTGTGATTAGGGTAGTTAATTGAAAATTCAGACATTCAGTCAGGAGCATAAGAAAAAACCTAATCGCGCGCGCCTTTAAAGCTGTGAGCAAATTTGAGAAAAATACTTTCTGACGGACAAAATCAGAGAAAAGCAGTTTCATTTGATTGAAAGGAGGAGATAACTGTTCAGTCGCCGTATTTTCGGAGGGCTATGTTCAAGTATGTACAGTACATCCCCCTTCTAAACAATGTATCCACTGATCTTCAGGAGCGATTATCCGCAGAGGCACTTTATTTATTTAAGTTAGGTGTTTTTATTCCGTCAGTTACTTATACTAGTGAAGATATAGAAACTGGTAAGCACCTCGCAATCGCGAACAATCTCCTCTTCCACAATAATACGTCAACATCAATAATTGAATGAATATCGTCTGTGGATGGCAAAATGGCTGCGAGTGTAGAATATTCCGCTGTTCATCATTACTCATATTGAAAATTGCTATGCCGAAATCTATCCCAACATCAAAAAGTTCTTATGAATCCTTGCTACATTACCAGTTAGTGAACCGACAGCAGAGAGGTCCTTTTCGACGCTCAAGAGACTCAAGGCTTGGTGCAAATAAAAAAAATTATTTTGTTATTCAACAATAAAATCTTTACCCTTTTAAATTAGATTTATTGTTTAAAAATCACATTTAGGCTACTCGTATGATTACACATCAAAATCCGTGTAGTGAGATAGTGAGCTTACGCGGTTACAAAAATGTTGTCATCTGATATACCAATAGGATTAGGTGAATTTCCGTGGTGTAGACTTCAAAATAAAAACTTGTTAATTGAAATTATCCAATTTTATTTGTTTTCTTTATTGCAGGTGGCCTATTACGATGAGTCGAAAGGCAAGACGGCCTGGGTAGGCTCTCTCTTAAGCGGCATGTACCTAAGCGCAGGCCCTTTGGTGTCGGCATTGACCAACAAATTTGGTTGCAGGGCTGTGTGTATAGCTGGCAGTATTATTTCCACCTTAGCTTTCATTCTCAGTATTTTCAGCCCGACAGTGAATTGGTTGATGCTCACTTACGGTAAGTCGTTATTAAGCTTTTCGAGAATTTTAAAAAGGGTGAGAATAGCCCGGATCCTATTGTAAAGTATAGGAAAAGCTATAGATTTTGTGGAGCAAGTTGAAAAAAGGAAAATCACACATTTTCAGAAAGACGTCTCGGAATTGTTATGACTTTTGACTGTGCAGATTAAAAAAACAGTATATCAGTATTTCGAGGAGAGAAATTTGTTGCAAAAATAACAGGAAAACTGCTTATAAACATGAGACTTAAATTGCCTCATTGGTAGGGGGGCGTTGAAGTAAATTGAAAAAAAAATTTCCCAGTGGTGGATAAAATTATCGAATTGAAATTTTGTACATACAGACAAAAATGTTGGCACTCAAACTCTACCAATGGCACAGAAATTGGAACATTTTGACCACTTGAGAAGAAAGATACTTTTTACTCCACTGACATTTTTTAAACATCTATTAGAATTTTGTAAGGTATATAATCTTTATGAATTGAATGTCTTGAGGAATTCGTGTCAGACCAGTGCTTTTGGACAAAAAATGGTTTGTGAATTCAAGGTAGTATCCATATAAAAAACTTAAATTCGTTCTACTTTGAAAATACGCTGTTGTGATTAATGTATAGCTTGAAAATTGTAACTAGTATATTAGGGGGTTATACTAACTCACCACATTGTTATTCGAAAGATATTCATGTTTTTGTCACCCATCTGTGAATTTACATTACCCTGTATCTGTACATTTTAGGACTCATGTTTGTATGAACTTTTTATGTTATTCTTAAAGGTACATTTTGCTGTAAAACTATTGCCATTGTTTTTTTTTAATCACTTTGTCTAGGTTGACCTAACGTGACTATGATATAATTATTTATTACTACCTTCGGTATATTACGCATTTATGGTATTTTCATTCTTAATCCTCAATGCCCCATCGCAATGAGAGATGTCCTTTACGTGGGTATACACATTGATCAACGTATTCTACCTGAAGATAGACAAACTTGTTCAAGTAAGAACCATTTTGTAATGGAGTCAAAGAAACTTTATGAACGTGCATTGTATGACAAACAAAATTTATTAGTTTTTTTTCATTTTTCAACAGATGAACCGTAAAAATTTAAACATTTGTACAGTCGTGGCACCAGCTCTTTCATCCCGTCGTCAAAGAACTTAGTAACTGCTTCTTTCAACATTTGGTCATTTCCCAAGCGCTTTCCACCAAAAGATTCCTTGGAAAAAGATGAAAGTTTGATGGTGTTGAGTTAGGACCATATGCTAGATGATCTAGTAAATTCTAGCCACGTCCGTGTTCTTGTCGCAACGTGAGGCCGAGCGTTGTCGTGAAGCAGAACGATGCCGCTATGGAGCAGGCCTCTCCAGCGGCTTCGAATAATGCACCTAGTTCATCAAGCTGCATGCGAATTTCAACAGGAGGACATTTTTGTCCGTTTAAAAACCGAATTACTCTGGACTCTTCCCATTCAGCGGATTTACTGATTGACATGATGACAATCAAAGCAATATAACCACACATCCAACACCGACAGAGGCGTGAAACGTAATGGCGGCGTTGTGAGAGACTGGCCAAGAGCGTCTGAAGTTGAACGGACATCATTTGACAGGATGCGCGGGTACGATGCGCAATTTGTTTTTACTTTAAAAATAGCCCTCTTATTTTGCCACCCAGAAAATTGTCCGAGATGAATTGAGATATCCTGGCGCTATCTATGAAAATTTGTCACAGCTATGCGTCTCCTCTCCACACTAATTAGAAATCTACTTTCAAAATTTTAATATCTCATAGGTGACGCTGCAGTCAACTATACCTATATGAGCATATATGGGCATATAATCGTCTCGGATAATTTTTGGACGCTGAAATACAGTATATGGTTGGCTATCGTCAGGTAGAATACCTTGGTTAATGGTATTTTAAATCGTGGATTTCAAACGTATGAAGTATGGCCTTGAAGAGTGAATTGATCAGTATCAGTAGTGTTCTTAATTGCTTCCTGACCTTCTTTAAGTTTTAATCTAAATTTTTCGTTCCCATAGGTTTCATCGGTGGTCTAGGATTCGGATTAATCTACCTCCCAGCTGTCGTATGCGTAGGCTATTACTTTGAAACAAAACGTTCCTTGGCCACTGGGATTGCCGTGTGTGGCTCAGGGGTCGGCACATTCGCTTTTGCGCCCTTGGCCACCTTCCTATTGGAGCAATACGATTGGAAAGGGGCCAATTTGATCCTAGCCGGGCTTATTCTGAACTGCGTCATCTTCGGGGCATTGATGAGACCGCTGGAGTACCCCAAGGAGAACGGGAAGAAGCCGCTGTTGCTCAGGATGGCGGAAGAAAGGAGGATTCAGATGGAACGAGGTTAGTAAGCAGTGTTTCTGTGCAAGGATCACAACGTTAGGAGAAGATATATAAGTTTCCTTATTACCTTGTATGTGCATGAGTTCAGCTCACTTAATCCTCAAGAAAATTCTTGAGGATAGCCTATCCATTTAGGTATCTATCTAAATAGCCAGTAAGCAAGGAGTTTCAGGTCAGATAAATTATAAACAAGGTGAAAAAATGTGGTAGCTGTTAACATACATCAGTGTTTTCGAAAACAAGTAATTTTATATAATCCTTCAAATTTTATCTGAGTTGGGAGGAATTTTAAAAGTAGTATACCTGATTGGTAATATAACGCATTCGTTCCACCTTGAAATTATTTTTTGATTCATAATTCATCCTCACTATTTTGACACGTTTGGTCGATTTATCTTTGTGAAATCAGGTTTTCCTTGACAGATTCTTGTATACGGTTCTATTGTCTCCATAAAACTAAAAATAATGCTATATGAAGTGCACTATGTATATTTATAAGTATACATAGTAAGTTAAATTAATAATTAATGAATAAGTGGGGCCAATATACGAGTATAGCTGAACACCCTGCTTTAAATCGCCTGGTGGAAGTTATGGCCGGTGGGAATTGTCTGGAAGTGCTTTGTCAAAATGTTTTATAAAGTACTTATACAGGGTGTCCCAACGAAAAGTATGAGCAAACTGGCGAATATATCAAAAATCTATTTTCGTGGCAACTTTGATATCTTACTGGTACATATTTGAAAATTATTTTAATGTATCCAGGGTGTTCCATAACTTCGTGACATTGCTAGCATAAGTATATTTTTTTTTGAAATAGAACACCCTATATTTTATTGCAAATTTGAATAGACCTTCTAAAAACAAGAAGTTTGATATGGTTTCGATTCTCAATGCACAAGTTTACCATTTTTTGTTATTAGCTCAAATGAAAGTTTAGGAAAAATGAAACAAGATGGTGAAAAAATTATTAATTTATCTCTAAAAACAAAAAAGTTACAGCGCATCAAAGTTGCGCCCCGCGAGATTATTTTTATTCAGTCTGTACGTTACGTGTGACGTCACACTTCAGACTTCAGTACCCAGTCTCAACGCCCGCGGCCGATTTCTGAGCCCGGGCCAGATGTGAAAAATCTTATTAAAAAAAGGTTATTTTTAAGCTCGCAAATATAAGTTTTTGCTTATTTTAGGTATTTTATTTAAACTATTTTTAAATTAAGGTAAACATTCCTGGACTGAGCGTCTGGGGCACTTGATACACCTCATCGTCTTATGCTATGACTAATCCAAGCCGTCCGAAAAAACAGTCGACGTTTCTAGACGGTAATTCCTGTTTTGCCAAAAAACATACGGTATCTAGAAGTGTGCTGCCTAAAAGCTTGGTTAAGACAACTTCCGATTCTTGTTTTGCCAAACTGAATTAAATTGGCTACACATCTCACATGTAACGGAGAAACTTCATGCCTCCTCTTTAGAGCCCTAAAACTATTTAAATCGTTGACTCCGCTGCATTTTATTCTGTAAAAATAGGCGTTGGTCTTCTATTTTCAATGATCTCCTTTTTTGCTTAAAAATTATACAAGGAGAATGACTTTTCAAGTAGTTGATCGATTACGCAGCGGCACTCATCCATGTGTAATTGCACGCAAACTACAGCCGGTAACCAAAACGGCTACTAACGAGTGAGAAGTGAGTAACCAAATCAAAAAATGGTAACAAGCCCACATAATAGTCGCAGCGGCCCACGCACTCGGGCGGCAGCGATCAGACACGAGCCGGTACCGACGGTCCCCAACAGACTACCAGGTGTATCCATAAATGAAAATGGTAACAGCCGACAACCAAGTGGAGGCGAGTCAGCTTTATCGTGTTCGCAAAACCTAGACACTGTAGGGCGCATTATTTTCGTGGGGCTAGTTTGCTATTTACTGAATATTACTATTACATATCGCTGTTGGTAAACAAACAAATGAAATTATTTCACAGTACTTAGTCATAAAATATTCATTTTTAAGATTTTTAACTGTTACCAATGGTAACAATGGTTACATGGACGCTTCGCCACTGCGACTCAATCTCCAAACACATGCATAGGCACACATGAATGAATGAATGAATGAATGAATCTTAAAATTTAGAGGCATCCCGGCCACCATATGGAGCCAGTGCATAGGCCGCTTAAGCGGGCCCTTATGCACCTCTACAATACTTAAATCACAAGCCTCGCCCTTTTAGCGAAGTTGAGAATCGCCTTGAGTCCAAGCTCCTTGACGTCCTGAGGGTCCAAAGTAATGGACCCCAGTATAGTCTGCCTATAGTAGCTCAGAGCTTCACAGTGACACAAAACGTGCGCCGAGGTCTCTTCCTCTACTCCGCAGCGTTCGCACAAGGGATCCTCAGCCACCCCCATCACGTGCAGGTGACGCCTTAACGTGTTATGGCCAGACAACAGTCCCACCAGCAACCTTAGGTTGGCTCTACCCAGAGATAGGCAGAAGCGTCCATCCTTAGCACTGGGCCCTTCAATGAGCTCTCGTGCCTGGCGGAGATGTCTAGAGATACTTCTCCATTTCTGAGAGTGTTGTCTTGCAACCCACGTCTCCATTTTCCTCCTAGCTTTATGCGCGGTTACTCCTAGAGCTGGCTCAGGACCAACGAGCTTGCTGGCTGATCCTGTTTTCGCCAGAGTGTCCGCCGTCTCATTGCCCCTTATCCCAGCGTGCCCCGGTACCCATATTAACGATACCGGATGCCTCGCTGCGAGGCAATCCAGAGCCTCCCTGCATTGCAGTACAAGACTCGAAGTAATCTTACAGGCACTTAGTGCTTTCATTGCAGCCTGGCTGTCGGATAAGATTGTTATTCTTCTCCTAGGCCCACCCTCCTCCAGAATGTGAGATACACAAGCCAGAATCGCAAAGATTTAAGCTTGGAAAATGGTGGTGTATCCACCGAGAGGCACACATACAACGGGACACATGGTAGGCTAAACGTCTTCCGCCCCAACTTGTTTAATTAGTTGACTGTATATACGATCGGTTATGAGCGAAATAAGAAAAAAAGGTTGTTGTAAATACTGTACCGTTCCAAAATGTACTGAGCACAACAATTACAACCCCTAATAAACATTTTTTCTACGTACCTTCACATGCGGCGTCCATAATAGTATGAACTTACGCAGTACTCAATAGTTATCAACTGGAAACCGTGTCCGAGCGCACAGGTGTGCCTTATGAATTGTCTATAGACTAAGGACTAAACGCACAGACGCTGTCGAACACCTACGCAACGAGAGTGCAAACCCCACAAGACCAGACGCCTGTTGAAATTATCTTACACGCCTGAAAGGGTTTGTCCAGGTATCCACTTAAAAAACTCGCTTATACGATGTTTCATGACCTCAGGACTTGTAGGTTTCTCGTGGTAAACTTCTCCTTTTATATGACCCCAGGAGCGGGGTCATATCGAGAGATCTCGCTGGCCAATTGATCGGTCCGCTTCTCCCTATCCAACTGTTATATGATATCAAGTTTCATGTTCTTAGAAGCTCTATTCAAATGTGCACGACGTATCAAAATAATATTAAAATGTGCACTAGTAACATATCAAGGTTACCACGAAAACAGATTTTTGATATCTTTTCCAGTTTGTTCATAAAACGACTTTCGTTGGAACACCCTGTACATAAACGCTACTCAATGCACCACTTTTTGTCTCCCAGAAAATAAGTTCCGTCTGGCATCTCTGAGATCTTACTCTACTCATTTTTTTCGAACTTCTCACTGTACCCATGTTAGTTACAATCGTTCATCCATAAAATTCGGCAATTCTTTGAACAAATACGGTGTGTCCGATACATTAAATATTCAGACTAAATCAGGAATAACAAACATTGGTGTTGATTATAGAGATTGTGTTTTTGTAGGGAGCATAGGAGGTTCATACTTCATGGTTCAACTTCCGGATGGCACATGGGAAAAAAGACAGAAACAACCTTTAAACATCGATCCAGGAGTTCACTCAAGGTAAATGGATAATAATTATGTTTAATTGTACGAGTATTTATTTAACTTTATGATTTCATTGACCATTATAGAATAAATATGTCGAGCGTTCGCTATACATGGTAGTATTGGTAGTAGTATGGTGGGGAGGCGAAGCCTGGCAACTAGGTTACCTTTGACCGTGTTGCCGACCCCGTTATACCAACGCTGTACTACTTTTCTGCTGGTAACTGATTATTGAATACACCTGCCCAGAGATGCAATATACCTATTTGATCTTGCACCGATGTGGTGCGGACATATATGCACAAACTCATAACATCCGTAGCTTGAAATATAACTTCTGAGGTTAGTATTCAAATCCGCGAACCTCCGAGCCCATGAACTAGCACTTCGACGCCATAAAACATCTGGCTACCCAGCCTCTATAGATGGAGCCACATTTGCCTTAATCGAGAAAATGTCTTACGTAGAAGTCTGATATTGAATAACCGTTGACGACGTAATGTGTGCATTGACATCGTTTATCAGATAGTCAAGGAATCACGGTAATGTAGCATCTAATTTGCAAAAGCTACCAACAGGGTATTATGTATTGCTGATATACAGTAATGGACAAAAGTATATAGACAAATTAATATTGTGCTGTATTTCTTTTTTAACTTGTTTTATTAATACACCAACCTGTACACATAATTCGTTATAGCATAATACTCACTTATACATAAATAAATTCATTAGACGCCCTTCAATAAAAAACTTATTGAAAAAAACTGTAACTATGATGGACAAAAATATATAGACAAAGCAAAGCAATTAAAAAAAAAGAAGCAAGGTTCATTGAATTCTAGAAAACCAATCATGTTTGTGTTAATATTTTGTAGCATAACCATTATTATCAATTACCTCCTGGCATCGTCTCGGCATAGATTGTAGTTTCTTGATATAAGATTCATCAATCTGTCTCCACTTTTGGTCTAATGCGGCAAAACGTTCATCCTTGTTTGAATAATTTTTATCTCGCATTTGCTTATCTAAGTACTCCCATAGATTTTCAATGGGATTCATATTGGGAGACTGTCAAAGCCATTTGAGAACTGGTATTTTTTCATCCAGAAAGAATTTCTTTGCGAGGTTTGAAGTGTACTTCGGGTCATTATCTTGCTGGAAATTTGATCTTAAGGGCATATTGTCTTCCATATAGGGTAACATGACATGCTTTATGTCTGTGTATACAAACTTATCCATAATTCCATCTATTCTATGTAAAGGTCCCATCCCAAAACCCTAAAAGCACCCCCAAACCATAACATCCCCGCCTCCATGTTTGACATTGGGCAAAGTGTACTTGGGGTTCAATATTTGTCCACTAGGACGTCTAACGTAATGAACACCATCTGATCCAAACATATTGAACTTGGATTCGTCACTGAAATATACACTCTTCCAGTCACAGATGCTGCAATCAAGATGCAACCGTGCAAATTGTAATCGGTTCCTCGAGATTAGCGGCTTCTTACTCGGGCGACGTGCAAATAACTTTAAATCATTTAATCTTCTACTTATAGTTTTTGTAGAAACACTGACAATTCCTTTTGTCTCGATTTCGGCTTTCATTTGTCTTGGGGTTTTAAACGGATCTTTGGACGAAATTACTTTTATTAATCTAACTGATCTAGCATTTAGTTTTCTAGGCCGACCACTTCTCTTAGAGGCTTCCAAGATACCTTTTTGTTTATATTTGTTCAATATTGCCCAAACTGCTGTACGCTTCAGCTTAAAATTTTCAGCAATGTCGACTTGACGTTGACCATCTTTGTATAACTCAATGATCTTAGTTTTCACATCGAAAGAAATATCTGGACCACGCGGCATGGTCTTAAAATCACTCAACTTATTCCACAATACTTGATGAACACAAACTAATCCTCTTCTGACACGAAACTGTACTAAACTAATGTTGAAAAGAATTTGTCCACATATTTTTGTCCCTCATAAAAAAGTGCTTATATTCAGACTTGTATTGTGCTCATTGCAGATAATGTAAAAACAAGCGATCTAGTTTTTCTACTAATAATGCATTTGTTTATGGAGCAATGAAGTAAGAATTCGTTTTCTAAAAGTATTTAGGTAGATATTCATATTTGTCTATATACTTTTGTCCATTACTGTATATCCCTTTCTCCAAGTGTTAACACGAGTATATTTTAGATCAAGACATGCTTAAATAGTAACAAGCTCTTCAACTTTTGACTCATCTCTAAATCAATTAGGCGATTCCTAAAACACTTCCACTGAAGATACATCGATTGGAATAGATATTATTTTTAAGTTTAGAATCCGCCAATATAGTCAACTTTTTACCGAATTTTATTTTGTAGTCTCAATTTGGATCAACTGGCTCCAGGAACTCCGATCACTCCAATCCCTACAGTTGCTACTTTGCCTACGATCACAGAAGCGAAAGTTACTGATATGAGTGGAAGTTCTGGATCACCAAGCCCCAAAGAAAGCACTGTTGAGCTGAAACCGAAGAATCCTAGGCTAGAAATCATCCAACAGGTAAATAGGGTGTATTATTAGCCAAAATGGCATTAGTACAATCTATTTTTGAATCCTCTTTCCACCAATTCACTATCAACAAACTAAATAGTCTAAAGCCGCCGATTGGTCTGGTGGTTTTCTCCAAAGCTGTGCTATATGGATAAATGCGAATTGCTAACTATTATTTTTTTACGTCAGGAAGGGCGAGTAAGAAGAGACTCTGACAACACAGAATATAATACCCAACCGACGAAAGTAATGCCTAGGAATGCTTCCCAGCCTGCGTTCAGTTCTCATGCTCAGGGTATACCCAAGAACGGATCAGTTCCTACGTTTGACAGGATAAGAAAGACATCATTTGGAGAAAGGTATGTAAGGAAAAGGATTAAAAGGCAATGATTATATCCTCTGTTGAACTTATATCTTCACTGCAAGAATGAAGAGCATCTTACAACCAACATACATAACAACAACTAGTATTCCTAAATTGAAATCCAATACACCAACATCAGAGATTGATCAATTAACGATATTTTCACAATTTGGTATTTAAATTTTGTTTCCTAATTTCAGGTTCAAACCTACCCTTGGTCCAATTAAGTCATCTTCTAGAAATACTGTGAACGCTTCTAATGGTGATATGAGAAGAAAAAGAAACGAATCAACAGGCTCGTTCCTAAGTCGAAACAATAATAGTGAGGTGATTGATCACTTGTTTTTTTTACACTACTATAAGGTATTTAATCGTTTCTCTGATAACCCGACTTTTTGCTGTTTAAGGTTGACATGGAAAGCTTAGCCTACACTTCAAAGCTGTCCATAGCCTCGAGGAAAGAAAAATCCCACATGGTGAGGCCGATGTCCAGAAAAGATATATTTTACTCTGGAAGCATCGTCAATCTTCCCGAGTTCCATAAGTCTCAGAAAAGCTTAACAAACTACAGGCAGAGTATTCTGAGCATACCTCAAATGCGAACTTTGGAAGATGAAGGAACTCGTAAGTGCGCTTCGACATTTGAATAATTCTTTTCAGCAAAACGTTTTTAAATTTATAGAAAATATTTTACAGCATATTCATATATCAAGCTCCAAAAAATCAACGATATACAGAGTTAGTTTATATTGCATAATCCGTCGACAGTAATAATAAAAAATACATAAAAAAGGTATTTACAAATATAGGTTCCTTACCTGGAAAATATGCCGCTCTGGACAACGCGACTCATAACTACGTGGCAACACAAATATGTATTTTTAAAAAGAATACCGCGTATACGTTATAATAGTGTAAAAAATATTTTTAAAGGAAGACGTTTGATATAGTATGCTTTGCGGTTTGAATGGTTACTTTTGGAGTTACGGGATATATTTTGTCTGATATAAAACTTAACTTTGACAGCTTTAAATGACGAGGAACTATGGGGTTTGAAGCTTTTTGACAAAAGGTTTGCTATTCTGTCTGCAAAATTGAGTGACTGACATTTTGTCATATTTGAGTAGTTTTTGAGTATCGATCCCTAATAACAAGGAAGATATAAATGCTATTTAAAGAGGCATTTCAGAATCTATTAAAATATAGGAATTAAAGAAAGTATGTTTATGAAGTCAAATAGTTATGTACCGGCACATCTTCAATGTAGGTAGCGTATAGTTGCGTATTCTTTTTATAACTAACTTTTTATGATGTATTTTAAAATGGAGCTTGCGACGGGATACATTCTAAAAATGCAACTTGTATATAGTAGACGGTTTTTGAACAAATATTTATATTTTACCTCGGGTTTTTAGCCGGTGATATTTGTCCATGCCTGGTGTTGCCAGAAAGTTTCAAGTCTGCCTTAGCTCAGATGTTGGATGTGAGCCTACTAAAGAATCCTGTTTTTATGGCCATAGGAATTTCGAATCTATTCGGAATGGCCGGATTATACGTCCCTTTTGTATACCTAGTGGATTTTGCGAAAACCAAAGTAAGTATTAGCATAAAAAATGCCTTGAGCTATTCATTCGATAACCATCGTTTCATATCAGTTGATAAATGATAATGGTACTGATAGACGATAGTCAAAGTCATCATTTATACATACATTTATACATACAAGTTCCGTTCTGGGAAAGATTGATAGACCAAATACAGTAACTTTGCCAATTGTTTTTTTCAAAGTTTAGTATCTTACCTGGATCCAAAGCATTTCTAAATAAAATGTGCATAATAATGGCCCAGAAAGATTACATTTTGACAAAGATGATTCATCTACCTACTTTTTGGATAGGCGAGCTGACGATTAGGCATATCAATAAATAGTAAATTAGAAAATTGTGAAAGTAGTTTATGAATACCAGTTTGTGAAAAATTCGTTATTTCAGCTGGATTGTAGGAATAATTAGATTTACAATTTGGAGCAAACCTCCTGACGCCATAGTTAAAGACAAAACGAACTGTTTTCTAGGAAAGTATCTCCTTTTTATTCCTCACTATTTTCTCTCGAATACCATAGTTTACTGAATCAATACAGTTTGACATTTCACCCAAAGATGTTAGCATAAAGAAATATAAAAACTTAGTTTATGGGTTGGTGAAATCTTATAGTTCTTGTTAAAGTTACAAGGGCAACACATGGCCTTGAAAAGTATCTCATTATATTATCTAAACTCTTAATCATTTTTTACTATCAATAAGCTCTGTATGCTGAATGGTATTGAATATCTGTTTGTTTCTAGGGAATTGATTCTGGCAGTGCTTCTTTTCTAATCTCGATCATTGGAATCACGAACACTGTGGGCAGAGTCGCCTGCGGTTACTTTGCAGATTTCCCCCAAGTCAATTCGCTGTTGGTGAACAACATTTGCCTGGTGGTCTCTACCATCTCCGTCACTTTGACGCCATTTTGTAATAGCTACGCCAGTTACATCGTCATGGCTATCTTCTTCGGATTCGCTATATGTAAGTCATTCCGTTTCAAGCATACTTAGGCTGACCTGGAGTCTGTATATCATCAATCAAAAATACATAATTTGAAGTTAAATCCAAATAAATTTACAGCACTTCTCCTGTGCTCAAAAAATGACATAAATAAGATTAAAGAGGATTTCAGTATAGTTACTAATAGTGTTAAACTGAATTTCTGTAACGTATACAAAATTTTAGGTGTATAAATTGACGAGCACAACACGTTAATACTTTAGTCCAAAAAGCATACATTCGTTCAGTATACTAGGTTCATTTTGAGTAACATATTGAAAAAACGGTTAAGTGAAACCTTGATTCTCTCGATCGTTAAATATGGATTTTTAGTTTATTTTCTTGTTTGGATCACATATGTATAAAAAGCATCCAAATCATACAAAACATATGATGTTACTTTATTAATGGAATTAGAAAAGATGACCATATAGTATCCGAAAAAACTGAGCACTTGAATTGGTTAAAAATTCCAGCAACCTTCCAAGACAATGTTTGTACATAAATTGATCAATGATTCTACATCTCCAGTATACCTTAAGGACAAAATACATAGACATACTTTCTCACTCAACAAGCTTTTTTCATGGAAGTCTTACTTATCAATCAATCACGAATTTCACGTCACTTCCTTCGGAACTTAAACAATTACCGGCGCGAAAACAATATTTGTACGATAGATACATGTAAATTATTAGCGCATTATAACAGGTTAATAAGTTTGAAGTGTCAAGATATGTTTGTTTATTTCATTCTAAAATCTTCCAGTGTACTACGTCTACCTAGGATTAGCTTTATGCTAAAGCTCACCCTTTGTGGTTAATACTAATGAAGACGATGATTATTATTATTATATTTTGTTTGTTTAGTATATTTTCTTAGAAAAAATACAGTGTGAAATTCTAATGATTTAAATTATTTTTCAGCTGGATATATTTCGTTGACTTCGATCATCTTAGTAGATTTGCTAGGTTTGGATAAACTCACCAATGCTTTCGGTCTTCTGATATTATTCAGAGGTGCTGCTGCTATAGTAGGATCTCCCCTCGCAGGTAATTAATTGGAAGTGATGATATATCGTCATAATCCGACTCTCAGTCAAACCTAGTAGCGAAGATCAGTAAAATCAGTGAAATATCGTGAGTGAAGTCCTAACAGTGAGCGTAAAAGTAACAAAAGTGTATTTTACAGGAGAGTAATAAGACGGAATGAAATATCATTTTTATATTGAGAAATGCGGCGCTATTGGCCAGCTATCTCCTTTCTGTCTGGCCGAATGAAAGCGCGTGAGCTATCTTTATCGAATGGCATTAAAATGTTAAAACGTTATATCCATTTCCTAACTGAAATGTGGCAATAATAATTGAACAAAAACTACATGTTGCACTATTTCAATATTTTTACTTAACAGAACGATAACCAGTTACTCTCATATAATAACAAAAAAATCAAATTTCAATTTAATAAAGTGACTATTAACGCCGTTGTTAAAATTATACATAAAATAAAATCAAATTCTAGTGGTACAGATGAAATAACTTTGCATATGATACTACTATGTATACCTGAAATTGATGTGTACTTAACGCATATTATAAACTGCTGTTTAGAGAGGGGATATTTCCCCAATCAGTGGAAACGCGCTATAGTTATTCCGCTACCTAAGTGTTCTGATCCTACTAACTATGGTCAACTGAGACCGATCAGTCTACTGCCAATTTTCTCTAAAGTATTGGAACGCGTTGTTTACGAGCAGCTCTGCGCCTACTTATATTCTAACAAAATTATTCCATCTAAACAATCTGGATTTCGACAAGGTCATAATACAGCTTCGGCGCTCTGTGATTTAACAGACAATATAACAATGGCACTTGATAACCAAAAAGCAATCGCTCTCATACTTCTTGACTTTACTAAAACATTTGACACCATTAATCACTCACTTCTTGTATCTAAATGCAGTTACTACGGATTTTCTGAAAAACCTCTTTCGTTTATTCAAACCTACCTTGAAAATCGGTATCAAAAAGTTCGTCTAAATCAACAGTACTCTATGGAACAAAAAGTTTGTTCTGGTGTACCACAGGGATCAGTCTTAGGACCGCTATTATTTTCATTATATATCTCAGATTTAGAAACAGAGGTAAATCATGCTGCATACAATTTTTTGCAGATGATACTCAAATTTTCTATTCATTTAGGAGTAATGACTTGGAAAATGGCAAACAATAAAATTAATCAAGATCTTGCCCAAATTAAAAAGTTCAGTAGTAGTCATAATCTGCGTTTGAACCCTTTGAAGACAAATATGTTGGTATACGCAAATAGAACAAAAAATAATACCTTAAAAAAGGCCATAGACATACATTTAAAAGGTAATAAATTAATTCCTGTGGATCATTCGAAAAACCTAGGTATTATAATGGATGATGACTTAAAATTTGTTGCACACGTGAACTATCTAATTACCGAGTGCTACGCTATTCTCAGAGTTTATTTGCAAATAAGGCTATATTACATAAATCTGCGAGAAAGCAATTGTGTGAATATTTCGTATTTTCAAAGATATCGTATTGCTTAGTGGTTTACTATCCCTATTTAGATATTATAACAAGAAATCGTATTCAAAGTATTATGAATACATGTTGCAGGCTTGTAAATGATCTCAGAAAATATGATCATATATCGAATGCAATTAATGAACTCAAATGGATGAAAATTGATAAAATGTATAAGTACCAACTCCTAAATCTGACTCATAAGGTTCTTTATTCAAAAACACCGTCATATTTAGTAAACAAATTCATACGTAGAGGGAATATGCATCGTATTAATATTAGATATAGAGAGACTTTTTCAATTCCACGCCACAGCACGTCACTATTTCAGAATTCATACATTTACAATGCGATCAAATCATATAATTCTTTAGACCGCAGTTTAAAAGAAACCAATCCATTATCCAAATTCAAGAAAACAGTGAAAGAAGTTCTTCTTGACCAGCAGCGAAATCGGTTGTAACCCATAAGTGTCCTCATATTTTCCTTATGTATCTATTTGGATTATTCGTTATTGTATACAGGTGCCTATTAATTTTCAACAAATACTTTTTTTTACATCTCGTATTGTTAAGGGGGTTAGATGGTAGAATAGATATATAGTCTAAATCTCGCCTCCTGTAAGAATATTACAAATAAAAGACGTTAATTATTATTATTATTATTATTATTATTATTATTATTATTATATGGTTTGGTGCGCATAGGACTTTGCTTATAAGATGTAAGATCCTGCATAATGTCGTGTACACTATTTCTCAAAATCAGAGCCGTCCTTAGCAGATGCGAGGCCTGGAGCAAAACATTTTTGCGAGGCTTTTTTTAAAGAAAGTGATCTACTCCGAAAATTTTTTAAATTCTCGAGCAAAAAAGTGTTTTTAGCATTTTTGATGAAGTTATTTCATCTCAAAACACGCCAATTATTTGCGAGGATAGAGTCTATTTTTATTTTTGATAAGTATACAATATTTCACTCTTTGTAAAGAATTTAATTTTTTAAGCAATAAACCATTAGGTGAATTTAGGTCTGCCAGGAAATAAATAAATTCGTATAAGAAATCTTTTTTTTGTAGTGGATAATAAATCATAAATAAACACATACCATTACAAAATATTCATATTATTTGCACATACTATCTTTTCGTCACAATGATCTCCTTCGTGGGTTTTGTAATTAATCAATAATTTAACGTATTGCAAAAACAATCGGACATATTTTAGGCACGTATATCTATACAATATTATATTATTTTCATCAAGCAAAACTTTCTACTTATTTGTTAGCGCAAGGCCTGGCCTACTCGCTTACTCGCTCCACCCTAAATACGGCCCCGCTTAAAATACAAAGTGATATTGCCGATTAGGATTAGACACTATAATAAAATGTTGATAGTGAATAAATTTGAAAGCCAGTGCTTTTTGGATTTGGATTTTTAGTCATTTCACTTTTAGGTGCCATATACGATGCCACTCACTCGTACGACATCCCTTTTTATGTCGCTGGAGCCTTTTTCTTTGTTTCTGCAGTAACAAGCTTTGCGGCACCAGGTTTAAAAAGATGGGCTCCTCAAGAGGAAGCTCCAATGGGCGAAGGAGATGCTTTAGCGCCCATCGATGAGGATGATGAAGAAGATGAACCCATTACAATGGGACAGGTAAGCAGATACAAACGAATTAACAAAAAGCTCCAGTGATCAAAGATCCAAACAATAAAAATTTACATTCACTTAAATGCTTAACCTTATGGGGCACATGAAATTTCGCAGCAAAAAATTTCGGAAACAGGTCATCCGGATTGGATGCAAAGCTAGAAAGGTGATATACTGGTACGTTCATTCTGTTCATGTAATTGACGATGATGAAATGAAAAGTATCTCAAGAAAACACCGCCAAAACAAACAAACTGAGGCTATGGGTAAAATATCTGTCATTGTGTGCTTCTTGTGTGTAAAAAATCCAAAAATATCCTCAAAAATTTGAACGAATTATATTTTATGGAATTGAAAATAGTTCATTTATGATGTACAGCTTCAATCAAGAGTTCAAAAAAGGCATTGTACTACATCTTTAACTACTAGATAATATTCCCCTCATCTTTAAAACAAACGAGAATGGCATTTAGTAAAATAGTTGAAAATACTCCATGATTTTTAATTATAAATAAAAGTACCTACAATAAACGTTCAAACATCATAAAAAAATGACACCAAATTTTTGCCTCGCTTGTCAACAATGTCAAGCATACTATGATGCCATGGAATTTATCTTACTATAGTTACATAGTCGTTACTTCGCACAAAATATGTCACCACCAGGTATAGTATAGCTGGACTATCATACGAGGTATGAACGGCTCGGTGCTGCCTGCTATTGGTGGATTTAGATAGATGCCCAGACGTACGATTTTTATTATACAGGGTGTTCAACTTCCCCCCTCGGATATATCGAAAACCACCGATTAAAAGAAAAAATGCCGAGACGCGTCAAAAGATTTGTCAAGGGGGACAATTTTCATCCTCGGCCTCTCGGGGTCATTCACTTAAAAATTTTAAATGACAAGGGGTATCGAGTAATAGCTTGCTTGAAAGGTCTTTCGAAGCCCTTTATTTTGACATTTGATTTTTTAAAATCAGTCGATTCGTTTTCGAGAAAATTAGAAAATCTCTATTTATCTTAATTTGTTCAGATAGATAACAAAAACACAGGAAAATATCACTTTTTATTTCAATGAGTGTTCAAAATGTTGCCCATTAGGGTTTCATTTATAATTTAATAAAAAACTACCAACATGCACAGCAATTCGGAAGATTAGACGTGGCAACAACCAAATAACAATCCGAATTCTTTTCATCATCACAGATATCCTGGGCGAACTGTAATTATTGTTATACCTGTTTAGTTATTTGTTGCTAAGGGAAAGAAAGAATTTAATTTGCTGCCAGTTCTACCTTTGTGACAATCTTGGGATAATGAAAATTAATTTATTGATTCAGATTTCACTTCCAAAGTAGTTTACACACTAGCCGAAAGAGTGGAAATGATTCTAATTTATGGTGCCCAAAATCAATGTGCTCGGCAAACTGCGGTCACGTTTAACGCCTGACATCCGGGGAAGATAACTTTGCATAGATATGTTTTGGACCTTGTTACTAAATTTACTCAAACTGGATCTGTTGCAAATAAAAAACGTGATCAAGTTTAAGTCTTGGGTCATTTTAGAATAAATCCTAATACTTCATTACGCAAAATTGTTGGTGCGACTGGTATTTCATTAGGCTCTCAACACACACTTACTAAACACTATAAATGTCATCCATTCAAAATGAAAATATTGCAAGAGTTAACCAAAGATGATTTCTATAGGCGAGTTGAGATTTGTGAATAAATGACAGCAGCGATTAATGATAATACCATTCATGTGAAGAATATCTGCTTCAGTAATGAATTTATCTAAATGGATTTGTTAATAAGCATAACTGCAGAGGCATTGGAGCAATGAAAATCCTCATGCTTTTGTAGAAGGGCATGCATAGTACCCCCGAAAAATCAATGTATGGGAAACAAAGTGACTGGGTCATTGTTTATTAATGGAAATTTGAATGGAGACATTTATTTGGATATGTTGGAAAATACCATCAATCCGCTTATCACTGAACCCGACAAGATCTCCTGATTTGACGCCATTAGACTTTTTTCTATGGGGTCATTTGACTTTTTCTATGGGGCCATTTGAAATCTATTGTGTTTACTCCCCAACCTGAAAGTTTGGATGAACTTCGCATCATCGAAAGCTGCCATGATATCCGTCGACATGTTTTTGAAAATGTCCGTCAGGAATTTGAACATCGCGTAGCTCATTGTTTGGTCAATAATGGGCAACACTTTGAACACTTATTAAAATAAAAAGTGATATTTTCGTGTGTTTTTGTATTCTATCTGAACAAATTAGGATAAATAAACATTTTTCTAATTGTCTTGAAAACGAATCTGCCGATTTTAAAAAATCAAACGTCAAAATGAAGGACGTCGAAAGACCTTTCAAACAAGCTATTACTCGATACCCCTTGTCATTTAAAATGTTTGAGGGAATGACCCTGGGAGGCAGAGGATGAAAGGGGGTGAAGTAGTTTTTGGTTAAAAAGTTGTCCCCCTTGACAAATCTTTTGACGCTTCTCGGAATTTTTTCTTTTAATCTGTGGTTTTCGATAAATCCGTGGTGGGAAGTTTTCAAATGAATGAACCCTGTAGTATTGCTCTGTATCTTGCTGTAAGAATTACTTTGCCAGACCGTAATCGTGTTGAGATGTACGGTTCTAGACTTCTGAATCCACTAAAGGTGCACGACCATTGAGGGGAAGGGAAGCGAAGCAAAGTGAAAACAAGTGAATATTTCTGCTGGGTTCCATTACACATAATCAAATGACAACCCGCCCACTCTAGTGGAATGAAATGTTTGAGGCGTGCAAATGACAAATGTTGCTGCGGTTCCCTTCGCGTTACAGATTGTTGTATATCTGCAGCTCAAAGTATCCTCCCCCCGCTTCAATTGTCAACACAAGACAGTCGCTCTTAAAATCGCTGCTTAAATACGATATACCCTCTCCCTTTCCCCAAAACAGGAATTTTCCTAGACATTAATCCTGACAACCCACCTCATCCTAGACAGTTCCCTAAATCCGCCACTGGTCAGACACCAGAAATTCGACCACCACCAACCCCTGCAACCTGTAAAATAAAAATCATTCACCCGACGGTATCAAATACTCATAGATGATTTAAGCATCAAGCATCTTGACTGGTGAAATTAACGTACGAACCCGGACTATGACGTGTTTACTAATACCTAGTATTGTTTTGAGCACGTAATGCTTCTATTCAATGGCGTCTAGGATCTGCGGTAGACAATCTTTCCGTATCATATTATTTTGTTCTCATTACTTTTGTAGTATATAGTATAGATCACATCAGTCATTTAGATCGCTATAAATACCTGAATATCTCACACAAGTCTTGAAGATAATTTAAAGCAGTAGCGTTCACTTCGATATCGGAAAGAATCGCGTCCGTGGAACTGTTGGTTGTATACTCTGGAGCCGCAGATTGGTTTTTAACCATTTTGACCCATATATTCTGTGACATTTGTGTCAGAAATTGTAAAAGTCGCACGAGTTAGTATCCGCAGGGCGCCAAAGAACATTATAGAAGAAAAAACAGTACCGCATTTGATATGAGTCAAGGTGTAAGAAAGAAAAATCAAAATCATTCAGAAGGAGAGGAAGAAAAGGAAAAAAAAAGGAAAAGCAATACAACGTAACAGTAATAGGGAGGAGGTATTATTAAATGACATCATAAAAGCAAAAGAACAAATCATCCTATCCAAAGATGAAATAATTCTGGCAAAAGACATAATAATAAAGGAGCTATACGAAAAAATTTCCTTACTGTATGAAAAAATTGCAACAATCAGTTGCAGAACCAATGGTAAGATAGAAGAAATCACTGATCAAGATATTTGTATCAACAGAACAGAAGCTTTGAAACCGTCATATAGTTCAGTGGTGAAAACGGGAAATACAAGTTCTAATAGCACTATTATAAAACCAAAAGAAGTACAACAAGTCATGCAAACAAAAAAAAATATTCTGAAAGTTTTAAAACCTGCTGAGTTGAATGTAAAACTTACAGGAGTAAAACAATCCGAAAATGGAACATTAAAAATTTCGTGTGCAGATGAAGGTGGTGTTCAGAAAATAAATGAGGTAATAAATAAACAAGTGAGCAGCTCGTACAGTGTAAACATCGTAAGTAGTCAACAAAAACCTAAGATTAAGATAGTAGGTATAGAACAGATGTTTGAAAATACAGAACTTGTTAACATTATAAAACAAGAGAACATGTTTATTGACAGGGATGCATATATAAATGTAGTTAAAACAAAGCAAATGAAAACACGATATTTTGCCATTATAGAATGTGACCCCAAAACCTTTCATAGTATCATGGAAAACGGAATATTATATATTAATTTAACAATATGCTCAGTATATGAACACATTAATTTGTTAAGATGCTACAATTGCAGTGGCTTCAACCACACTGCTAATAAATGTACCGGAGAGATGTTCTGTTTAAAATGCGGTGAGAGAGGACATAAAGCAGATATATGCACGAAATCAAATATATCTTGCCCAAATTGCTTGGAACTTAATAATATATTTAAGTTGAATTTAAAGATTGTTCATTCTGCTTTTGACAAAGTAAATGGCACAGTAATGAGGAAGAAGCTTGAAACAGCAAGAAGCAACATAAATTACTCTATATAGCAATCAAAGGACAAGTCAGAAAATTCATCGAAGAGTCCAATCATTGCTCACAGTGAAGGCGTCACGAAAAATTGTAGCACGCTAAATGTAGCACATGTGAATATCCGATCACTTATTCCTAGCTTTGATATGTTTTCAGACGTGATACTAGAGCAGAGCCTTCATATTATAGCACTAACAGAGACTTGGCTTACACATGATTTTCCTTCGAATTTAATTACTCTGCGAAATTACCAGCTGATTAGAAATGACAGAGAAGAAAGAGGAGGTGGAGTATGTTTTTACATCCAGACCAACATAAAATTTAAAGTCGTATATTGTAACAACATTTCTTCAAATGGCATTGAACAAATGTGGTTATCGCTAAAACTAAATAATAAGACCATTGCGACAGGTGTTATCTATAGACCGCCATCTATTGCATTAAGTCTACTTTCTAGCCTTGAGAATAACCTTGCTTCTATATTCATTACCCATGATGAAGTTATACTGATGGGCGATGTGAATATTGACCTCACCGATAAGTCTTCCAATCCCAGTAAAAAATGTTTTCAAACCATGGCATTATTCAATCTCGTTCAGGTTATTAATGAACCCACAAGAATTACCAAGAATTCAGCTACAATGATTGATTCCACTCTTGCATGTGCGCACAGGTTATGCTTCTGTGAATTGAAGATTGAAATTCCAGAATACACTCCTACATTTTATTGTCGTGACTTTTCCCACTCTAATTATGATGAATTTGCTGAGGATGCAACTGCTGTGAACTGGCATGATATAAATAATCTAGAAAGTCTTGATGATAAAGTCCTCCATCTTACTGAGAACATTACCTTGCTGTATGACATATATGCTCCAATGAAAAGAATTACACTTCATAAGTTCTACAGGCCGTACGTCACCTATACAATAAAATGTATAATAAATTTAAAACGAAACGCTTACAATAAATTTAAAAGGACTAGATCTGAAACAGATCGATTGTTTTATAACGAGCTTAGAAATTACTCAGGTGTGGCTTGTAAGGAATGAAAAAACAGCTTATATAAAATATCATCTAAATAAGAACAGGAATAATCCCAAGCAACTATGGAAAGACTTCGCTAAATGGAATATTCATCAAAAATCCACTAATCAGATATCTCAGGGCATTGAAGGCGCAGAAGCTATCAACAATCACTTTGTGAACTCGTTGCCAACCATTCAACCTGATGAGTTATTTCTTAACACTTTATCTGGGCAGAAAAAGTCACTCGTAACTAAAAGTTCGTTCCATCTAGTTACATCTGATGATATTGAAAAGAAACTAAGAGAAGTGAAATCAAATGCTGCTGGTATAGATGGTATTACCACAAGCATGCTGAAAAGTGTATTTTCTTTTTGCAAAAGTGAAATAACGAATATCATAAATCAATCCATGAACACAGGAGAAGTACCAACATTATGGAAGAAATCAGTTGTAACGCCACTAGCAAAAGTCAATAACGCTACACAGATGAAGGATTTGAGACCAGTAAGCACCTTACCTGTGATGTCCAAGCTTGCAGAGAAAGTGGTAGCTGACCAACTTCGTGACCATCTAGAAGTAAATGAAGTCCTTCCCGATACACAGTCGGGATTCAGAAAACTACACGACACATCCACAGCGCTTATAAAAGTAACTAGCGATATAGTCAAGTTCATGGATGATGGTATGGTGACCGTATTGGTGATGTTGGATTAGAGTAAGGCATTTGACATGGTCAACCATGAAATATTATGTAAAAAGCTACAATATTATGGTTTGTCTAGTAATGCCTTACTGTGGTTCAACAACTACCTGACTGGCAGATCCCAATGCACAAAGATATTTAACAAAATTTCCACTTTACAAAATGTAGTTTCTGGTGTTCCGCAAGGAAGTGTATTAGGTCCATTACTATTTACATTCTATACATCTGCTTTATTAAATTTTATATCACATGTTTGGAATATACATCTATATGCTGATGATGTACAAATGTATAAAGCTTGCAAGCCAAATGAAGTTAATTTATTGATTAAAGAGTTAAATGTAAATCTAGAAATGATTGCAAACTATTCCAAAAATTATTGTTTGAAACTGAATCCCACAAAAACTAAAGCTTGCTGCATTGGTTCTAGGTTAAATATTTCAAAATTTAAAGGATTGATGAGTACAGGCATTGTTTTAGGTGATACATCGGTTGAAATTGTAGAGGAGACTAAGAATTTAGGCATTTTGTTGGACACAAATTTAAGTTTTGAGAACCATGTCATTAATAAGCTTCGAGTATGCTATGGTAAATACAAGTCACTTTGAAGATACAAACATGTTTTAACCAGCGTTATAAAATTAAGGCTTACCAATGCACTAATCCTCACTCACCTAGACTATGGCGCTACAGTATATTATAATTTTCTGACGGAAGAAATGAAGCACAAAATTCAAGTATTACAAAATTGCTGCATGAGATTCTGTTTCAAAGATATACATATACAAGAACATATTACTGGATATTATGTGAGAGAAAATCTTTTAAAATTCAAGTATCGTGTATTACTTCAGTATGGAACTCTACTATATAAAGTTTTCAAATATAAATTACCCAGATATCTGTTTATTGCTTTAGAGAAGAGATGTTCACTCCGTAAAGTTTCCTTACGCAACAATGAATACTTCAATATTCCAGTTCATACAACATCTAAATTAAAAAAATGTTCTACTTACACGCCACCATATCTACTAAACGATCATTTAGAACTTTTTGAAGCACCTTCCATCCAAAACTTCAGAAATGAGATGGAAAAAGTGCTACTACAGCTGCAAAGATTTGAATCCACAAATTAAATTTATGGCGCTCGCTACACTACCCTCCATTAACACTCAGACTATATCGTATTACATACTGTGTTGTGCATAATATACGTTGTGAATTCTGTTGATGTTAAAAAACGCTCATGAAGTTAACTTTTTAGGGGGAGGTGAAAAATGGCCCTGCCAATCCTCTTTCCTTTTGGAATGTTGTCGTTTTTATATTTTTATGTATAAACATTCAAATAAAAATTATTATTATTATTATTTACAGGGTGGCCATTTAGTACCAAGAATAACAGAAACGGCGTCGAGTCCAGTATCGGAAAAGGAAGAAATTCAGCAGAAGGAATCTGTGTTATAGAAAGAGTGATGCGGAATAAGTTTACCATGAAATGGAAAACAGAATAAGATATTTTTAGCTATTAATGAAAACAAATTATTCAATTTTGTTTGAGATTAATGCGGAAAATAACATGAAATGTAACTGTATAATATACAGACAAAAAGTATGGGTAATAAGCGAAAAAGTGCCGTTGATTTTTTGTTTTATTTTCAATACAAAACTGTATTGTGATGTTTTTAAAGAAAGATGCTACAGCTTTTTTATTGGTCATGTTATTATTGCACAAAATCTCTTTTTTTATCATTACATTTAATACTTATATAGATTTTTGTTCGATAAGGGTGGTGAAAATGTGTTCATAATTATAATAATTAACATTACAATTACAAAAAAACTATGTTGCTGGTTCCGACTTGTAGTGATATTGATTCAAATTTTGTGTTCACGATTACGTGTTTGCGTAAAAATGCTGTGATTTATATTATTCTTCACAAACACTTCTCATACTGTCTCGCAATATTGTAACATGTTATTACATAACCTGTTTCTGGTTAAATATTCCTTTAAGCATTGGTTAATGTATTCTGCTCTAAGAGAAAAACCATATACTATATTCCGGCATCCAAAAGGGAATATGAAAGATACCAGTGCCATCTGTGAGACAATAGCAGAACACAAAAATGAATTTAGAAACCTACTTTGAAAAAAGTGAGTGTTTGGTTCTGTCATTGCCTCATTGATTGCACTGGGATCTTCAATTACTTTTTTGCCTCTCTGATGCCTATTTTAATTGGGTATTTTCAGGTGGAGTATGTTAATCACTGTCTGGAGATACCCAATTAAAATAGGCATTGGAGACACCAAAAAGGGATTGAAGATCATAGTGTCATCTATGAGTCGGTAGCAGAACCAAATACTCTTTTCTACGTAGATTTCTAAATCCATTTTTGTATTCTGCTACAGTTTCATAGATGGCGCTGGTTTCTTTTAGATTCCATTTTGGATGCAGGAATACAGTATATAGGCTACCTTAGGAAGGATACGTTGAACATTACTTTAAGTCATAAATACTCCTTGGTTTTGGAATCCTTGGTCTGTATTTTCTTCACTTCCAAGGCACAATATGTTTTAATATTTATGTAAATGTGAATTTAAATTTTTTGGCCTATTATTTCAGAAATTCTTGATTTTTCGCTTTTTCACCACCACATCTTTATTTCGGTGAGTTTACACATATTTTTATCTCAGCTCAGGACAATTTTCACGCGAATTTCTCTTGCACAGTACAACAAGACCTCAAAAGGAACATGCAGTGTGGCTTGAAATATAACTTAAATGAGTTTTTACGTGCATAGAATACACATGGTGGAAGTGCTGAAAAGGCGAATAGAGAATATGAACACCTGTGCCCTTCTCTTCTTGTTCCTTGTCTTTTCTCCATTTGTTCTTTTCTATAACGAAATGAAGAAATGACACAGTGTGGGAAGTTTCATGAACACTGTATGTACTTTGCGGTTGTACCGTGATTCAAAAATGATTTGGAAGCAACTGATATGATGTGTTGCTTTTGACATCATTTTAGCCTTATGAAATATTTCTAATTAGGTTAGGCGAAAAAATGTAAAATATGTATTAAAAACGTTTAAATAAATATGAAAAAATGATCTCATTTCTCTACGATTATTTTATTATTTCTTCCATCATGATACATATACTAAATTGACAGTCAACAAAAGGTTGCAAAAACATCCTTTTAAAACGTTGGTCTTACAATATTTGGATGCAGATAGAGATCTATCTGTACGGGGATACGTGGGAAAGGGGGGGGGGGGTGCAAACGGACTAGAGCATGCAACATGCACACATTCTGGCCCCCCGCCGGGTGGTACCTCCACCGTTTGATAGTCAGAGTCTCTACCGCCTAGGGACAATCACAACATCCATAGTTAAGAGAAAATTTCCCTTGGGACGGGATTCGAACTCGCACAGCGTCTACCTCACTACGCCTTCGCTGCTGCCTGACTGTTGAAAAGTACCCAGCTGAACTTTAAACGTTATCGCTCGTACCATGAAGATGACCCAGGTGAAGGACAGGCAAAAACCGCGACTACACCTGAAGCCATGATGGAAAACGTCGACGATATACTGTGTTTGACGATACGCATGTGAAGGTGAGCAAGTTAGCTGACGCGTTGGCAATATCAGAAGAAAGGGTCGAAAACACTTGGTTGCCATATTTACTAAATGCCGATCAAATTTAAACTGAAAATCGGAGTATTTCATTGCGAGCGTTCAGCCAATGTAAAGCGGTGCAGTGCTTTTATGGCGAAAGCTGTAGCCATGGAGGCTATGTCAGTTTGATAGCAGTTTTCGCATGCATGGCATGTTGTTGATCTTGCGAACTATCACGGTACTGCTATCCAGCATAAAAGCACCGCACTGCTTTACTTTGGCTTATCGATCCCACTGTCAGACTGCGAAGTTTCTATCCTACCTTCGTAAACATGCAAAGTTAATTTCACATGACTATTCCCGTTGGTCCGCTTAAAGAAGTAGACTATACTCATATGTTCAGGCTGTTAGCCAAATAAAGTTGGGAAGCTATTTTACCGGACAATACGGTTTAATCCACCCGAAGGCATCGACTACTTCCGGTTGAGCTGTTCGCCAAATAAACATGCAAACTTAATTAAACCGGACTATCTATGTTAATCCGTCCGATGATTTCTCCGTTAATCCGAAATACACTGGAAAATGTCGACAGGCTCCATAGCAAAGGCACTACTGTGACAGGAGCAAACTGCCAATCAGATTCAGATTCATTTATTGATCCAGTTAGATCTACATTGTAGACATTGGATAAGCCGGTGTATACAGATTAAAATATAGATAAAAGGAAGTAAAATACAAATAACAATATAATAAATAAGAACATAAAAAAACCATATGATACACACATGGCAATAAATTATTTGTTAAGGTCTATCAGAAGCACTGTGGAATGTGACAAATTCACCTAGGTCATAAAAACCGCAGTCCGATAGCTTGTTCCGCAAACGTCTTTTGAAAAGCCCTACGGAGTTTACGTTTTTGATCTCCGGAGGTAATAAATTAAAAAGTATATTCCTGCTGTTATGGGAGATTTTGAATGAAACGTATGATATGACACATGCCTAACTATATTATTTTTATTACGAGTGCTGTAGTCATGGATGTCAGTATGCTTAAGATAATCATTTCTGTGGTCTGTGCTGAAAAATATATGTTAAAAGATTATAAAGATATATACATGCTACTGTAAGTATTTTGTGTTTAACAAATATCTCACGACAGGAGGATCTGGACCGTATTTTAAATATAATGCGAATGATTCTTTTTTGTAAGACAAACACTCTAGAGATTTCACTAGCCTGGCCCCACGCAGTAATGCCATATGAAATGACAGAGTGTACACATGCATAGTAGACATCCATTAATGCTGAGGTGTTTAACATCCTCCCTAGCGTAAGTATTAAATACAGACTTTTTCCAAGTTTCTTACATACGGAATCAATTTGCTCTGTCCATCTTAAATTGCAATCAAAGCTTACCCTAAAAAAACAGTTTTTTTGGAAGTTACAACTGTCTTGCATTGAAGACTGAAATTAGAATTTGACAGAATTTTTGGTTTCATAAAATATTCAACTGAAACGGTCTTTTTTGTATTTATTATTAGTCTGTTTTTGAAGCACCACTGACTGAACTCATTAACCGAATCATTGATTTTTTCTTGAAGACGATCTTGCGATGAGTCAGCTAAAATGATATTTGTGTCGTCTGCATACAAAAGTAATTTTCCGTAGGATAAGTGTGCAGGCAAATCATTTATGAAAATCGAGAAAATAAGTGGTCCAAGGACGCTGCCTTGAGGTGTGCCCCAATATAAATTGAATTCATCAGGTTTTTTATCAGCGACAGTAACATAAAATTTTCTATTCTCTGAAAAGCTAACTAGCCATTGATTCAAACATCCGCGAATGCCAACATGATGAAGTTTATCGGCCACAAATGACGAACTTACACAATCAAAGGCCTGAGACAAGTCAAATTGGATACTCACTACGTAATTACCTAAATCAAGTTTATCACAAACATACTGAACATACTCGATAATGCTTGTTTCAGTTGAGTAGCCTGCCCTGAAACCATGTTGAGCATATGTGATAATAGCAAATTTAAGTAATTTTCAATTTTCATTGCAACCACTTTTTCAATGATTTTCGAGAAAATACTTAATAGTGCGATTGGCCTATAGTTTTCAACATCACAATTTTCACCTTTTTCAACATCATAATTAACGATGCCAGTTTAAGAGATGTTGGAAATTTACCAGATGCAACCGATTCATTAATGATGTCTGCTAATACTGGGGCAAAGATATCCATGTTCTGTTTTACTAAATAGATTGGAATTTCATCAGGCCCTGTAGATTTCTTGTCTGGCATATTACTTATCACAAATATAACATCATCAGTAGTAACATGGGTCAAAAACATTGAATGTTTGGCTGTTTCACCAGTAGTGCAGGAATCCGACAAAACGGCAAAATTTTTGGCCATTTTCTTGCCAATTACAGTGGATACATATTTTCCAAAAAAGTTGGCGATATCAGTAGGGTTGGTTATAGTTACGTTATCGCAGACTAATTCTGTAATAACTGCATTCTTTTGTTTTACCTTTTATTGAATTGACAATATTCCAAGTACATAGTTTTCTGTTTGTTTGAAGATTTGCTGATTATAGAGTGATAGTAACTAATCCTTTCATCACGAATAGTCTTATCAACCTCTTTTCTTAAAGATTTAAATTTTGTTTCCAAATTAGTATCTTGAATCTCTTAACGCAGCCATGCTAGGTTATTCAATTGATCTATTTTTTCTTGAAGTGACTTAGAGAATTTAATTTTCTTATGAGGAGAGCTGTATCGCTCATTATGAACAATTTTACGTTTAAAGGCTATGTCGAAAGACCACAAGCACGTTTCTAGAAAGTCATCGAAACAGTCATTTATGTTACACTTCTGAATGTTACCAAACCCATGCTTCAGTAATAAATAGCGAAATTCCCTCATTGAATTGTAGTTCAAATTTCTAATTACCCGTGTAGTTGGGTGTTCAGTGGTATTCATGGTATGATATGCTACACAAAATAAATTGTCCGGTATGGTCTGACAAACCAGGGTCAACGTTTTTTACATTTACTATTTCTGGGCAGTTACTAATTATGTAGTCGATTGACGATTTGCTGATTCCATATCTGGTAGAGGCAATTCGAGTGTACTCAGTTATATGAGACTCAAGTTCAAATGATCCAAGCAGATCGCCTAGTAATCTTTTTGAAATATCATTTCCAGAATAATCTATGTTCAAGTCGCCTGCTAAAATTACATATTTGAAGTTACTTGTCGCAAACTCTTATTGGGTTGTGGCGGCCTGTAGATACAGATTATGCAATATATTTTCATAAAAGATACTGCACTGGAAAATATTGCCGTGCCTCCATGTATAGGTCATTCCTAAATCTTTTGTGGTATATGTTGCTATTATCCAGATGATTTCGAAAGAGTTTTCACTCTATCTGGGACATGTGGTACATACCTGTAATATACCACTTAAGTGCTTCTAGTTAAGAGGATCTTGCAAAACCAGCCCTTAGAAGGCCGGTTTCAAGGGCAGTTGCCTACTGCCCCTCTTTTTTTTTTCTCGCTGATGTCTATTTTTTATATTTGTACTTTTCGTTGACAAAATAAGAAAAAGATATATTGGGACAAGTTTTATACACATTCTTGTTTTTCATGGTTGTACCATGATTAAAAATGATATTTCAATGCAACATGCAATCCGATATGATGTATTTGAGATCATTATCTAGCCTTTGATATGCGTTTAAATCTAGGTTAGATGAAAAACTGTAAGATACGTATTAAAAACCAACGTTTGACATGGATATACAAAAATGGTTTGATCTTCACTTTTTTTTTGTTATTTTTAAGATTGTATTTACCTATTCGTCATTGTCTGTCAGAGCGGTCCGTAGGATCTTTGCTCTTGGTTAAAGTAGTCAGTAGGTCTGTCAGGTCTGGTTGCCCAGATACCAAACAAAGTCAGGGAGAAAGAAGAGAAGAGGAAAGGAAGGAAGGAGGGAGAGCAAAGAAAAAAGAAGTGGGTCAATTTGAGGGGTGCCTTGGCATTGCAAATTAGTATTCGCCAATTTTAAATTGATCCTAAAATTAATTTTGAGATTGGTTGTTGAAGAAAAATGATAATTTTGGTTGGACCTAAAGTCGCACGATTTAATTTTGTTCAGTATAATAGATGGCCTGCATTTTCGAATGATTAATTTTGATCAGCCACCGATTCGCCCATTCCAATAGCTCGTCCACTGCACTTTGCAGCCTGTCGTGAACTAGAGCCCCAGAACACGACTGGGCCACCAGGGCAGTGTTATCAGCATAGAGATAGATTTCACAGTTGCTGGGGCAAGGGACGTCATGAATAAAAAGTCCAAGAACCGAACCCTGAGGACACCGGCTTTGATGGGCCCTGTTGCGGAGAGAACGTTATTAATTTGGATCCAAAATTTCCTACCCTCACGGAAGAATTTCAAAAGTTTTAGGAGCCAGAAGGGGAAGTCCTTAT